TACTATGGCAGCCCAGTAAAGCTGGAAGGATACAGTAATGCTGTCAGGTGTAATTGATTGTGGGAGGAGTCAGAAATGGGGCTGCAGAGGAAGATTGGCTTGGGGATTTAAACCCAGACACTGTAGCCATGAGGGGAATCACCACGTGGCTTGGGTGAGAGTTGGGACCACGTGGCTTTGGATTGCTCCCTTTTGCCACATGACTTAGGAAGCAGGGGAGACTTTGCCTGGAAGAAAAGGGGAGAAAGGAGTCTTGCTGGTGGGCCAAGAGAAGGTGCCACATGGCTTTGGATTAACTGGAGATCAAGGTGGCAACACAGCTGATGGTGCCGGGAGCCTAAATCACGGACTTCTACTTCTTTTCCTGAGATTTGGTACCCCAGACTGAACAAAGGGGAGAAGGAAGTGCTGTGTGCATTTGTGGGTATTCAAAAGAACTTTAGCTTTAAAAAAAAAAAAAAGCCCTGGCTGGTGTAGCTCAGTGGATTGAGTGCGGGCCAGTGAACCAGACAATCGCGGTTCGATTCCCAGTCAGGGCACATGCCTAGGTTGCAGACCAGTTCCCTACAGGCCAGTTCCTAGCAGGGGACGCACAAAAGGCAACCATACATTGATGTTTCTCTCCTTCTCTCCTTCCCTTCCCCTCTAAAGATAAATAAATAAAATCTTAAAAAAAAAGAACTTTAGTATTTTAATGAAGACATTAAATCATTATTCTAAGTCTGTATAACTTTTGATGTCAATTCCGCACATAGAGCAATCAAGCCGCTCTACGTGTGCCACTCACGACAGAATCCCTTTTTTTAAGTCTGTATAACTTTTAAATAAATATGTTTTTTCACCAATCTCTGGCATTGAGAGATATCTTTCCTCTGGCGGCAGGCAAAGCAAACCTAGTATGAGGGGGAACCCCCAGAGAAAGAAGGGGGTTCCTTTCAGTAACAGTATATGGTTCATCACCCCCTGGGTCTGTTCTGTAACATTATGATGATTTTCAGTTTTTAAAAGATTTTATTTATTTATATTTAGACAGAGGGGCAGGGAGGGCCAAAGAGAGGGAGAGAAACATCAGTGTGTGGTTGCCTCTCATGCACCCCCTGCTGGAGACCTGGCCTGCAACCCAGGCATGTGCCCTGACTGGGAATCCAACTGGTGATGACCCTATGGTTTGCAGGCTGGTGCTTAATCCACTGAGCCACACCAGCCAGGGCTGATTTTCATTTTTAAGGCCAGGCTCTCAAATTTCACTAATTAACATTACAAGGAAAGAAAAGCTGACCTGCAGGCAGAAATACAGAAAGAGCTGAACAAGATTTTTACTTAATACTAGTGAAAAAGGCTCATATTGAGATGTTCTTCTACATACCTTCACTTTCTTTTTTAAAAAATAGTTATTTATATATTTATTTTTGAATTATTTCCTCACTTTCTTTTTTAAAAAATAATTATTTATATATTTATTTTTTAGAAAGGGGGGAAGGGAGGGAGAAAGAGAGAAACACCAATATGTGGGTGCCTCTCACGTGGTCCCCACTAGAGAGCTGGCCTGCAACCCAGGCATGTGTCCTGACTGGGAATTGAACCTGAGATCCTTTGGTTCGCAGCCTGCACTCAATCCACTAAGCTACACCAGCCAGGTCTATTTCCTCACTTTCTATGGTACTTCCTAAGACAGTAGAAATGGGAGATAAATATTCTGAGCAGTGGCATGTCTGAAAGCTCTTTATTCTCCTCTCTCATGCTGATGATCACTTGTCTACAGTTCTAGGTTGAAAAACATTAACCTTGGGTTCGAAGGCATCATCCTGTTGCCGTAATGTCGAATTTAACAGCTGGGAAGTAGAACCCATTCTCATTCCTGTTTTTTTTGCAGGTGACTTTTTCCCTCTCCTGGAGTTTTTAGAATATTCTCTTGATCTCTGGTATTCTAAAATTTCACAATGGTATGCTTTGGGTCATTTTTCAGTGAAAAGCTGTGGAATTAGTATCTTATTTAAATTTGGAACTTCATCCTTTTAATTCTAAGTAACATTCTTATATTATTTCTTTGATAACTTTTTTCCCTTTTACTTTCTGCTGTATCTTCTAGAACTCCTGTTAGATGTTGATTCTCCAAATTGATCTTTTATGTTACTTGTGGATGTTTTACAGGGATATATATATATATGCCCTTTTTCTCCTCTAAAATTTGAAATCAGTTGAGAATTAAGATGCAGTAGACAGATAAATGGATGTCAAGGTGTTCGCTTTTGCTGATAATCAGTGAAGGAGGATTTGGCTTAACATCTTAAATCAAAAGCACTTGTTAATGTTTTATTCTAAAATTAGGCAGCATACCTATGGAGTCATGGGCAGAGCTGGCAAAGCTGGGTTCAGTCCACCTGTCAGCAAGTGGACAAGGTGGGCAGGGAGGCAGCGAATGGAGCCCGGGGGAGCTGTGCCAAGGCAGCTAAGCAGTAAGCCAAGCTTCCTCTTCTGGAAAGGAGTGAGCAGGCTGGGGGAGAATCTGGAGAGAGAGCCAGAAAGCTTCACTTGTGGGAACTTGAGGCAGGGAAAACCGCCCCCCCAAATTTAGTTATCAATTTTCACATTAATTCTTTTTGTTCTTATCTCTTTTTCCTTCTTATTTTTCTGTAAGATTTTCTAAATTTTATCTTCCAAAGCTTCTATTTTTGGCTTTAACAATACTATTTTTATGTTTGAAAGACTGTTCTTGTTTTCTGAAAAAGTATCTAGAATATACAAGAAATTCTGGCTAATCAACAAAGTGAATTCAGAAAACCCAGTAGAAACATGGACAAAGGAGATGAAAAGGCACTTCATACAAGGGGAAGCTGAATGGCTGTTCAGTAGATGAAGAAATGTTCAGACCCACTATCACCTAGAAATGAAAAATAAAAAACATGAGATGGTATCAGGTTGGCAGTAGTTGGGAAGCTGAATAATATCAAGTACTTGGAAGGGTGGATGAAAAGAGGGAGCCTTCCTATGCTGGGGGTGGGCGTCACCCGGCATGGCCGTTCTGGAGAATGGACGCTCTGGTGACACCCAGTAAAGCACAATCTCATTCCTGGATGCATTTCACAGGGGAAATCTTATTCAGGTTCACTCGGGAACATAATGAGACCATGGTGTCGGTGTAGTTCATGACGAGGAGACAGCATAAATAAACCAGGACATATACACACCATTTAATATGGGTCATAGCAACAGACCAGATGCACAAATAACACCATAGCAGACCTTAAACAGCTCTTGTTGGGTAAAAAAGGTCAGCAACAAATGAGATTTGTAAAAGTTTCATTTATGTATATGAAAAACAGATGGACATAAACTATACTGCCATATATTTTATAAGGATATATTTTAAGAATATATATTGCTTTAGTTAACTATTGATACATAACATAACAACCCAAAATTCCCGTGGCTTAAAACAAATAACCATGTATTATTTCTCAAGATTCTCTGGGTGAGAAATATGGGCAGGGCTAGGCCAGGTGGACTGTGTGGTACTGGCTAGGTTACATGCTTGGATTCATTCAGCTGTTGGCTGGGCTGCTCTGGAAGCTCCCAGAGGCTTTGTTCACATGTTGGGGGCCTCGTGCTTCTCTAGGTGGTCTCTCTCACTCTCTCTTTCTCTTCATATTGTAACTCAACTTCCCTACCCTGAGAACCTCCCACACCGAGTGAGTGCTCCATGAGGTCAGTCTCTCTCTAGCAGGATAGCAGGGCCTCCTTATAGCATGGCGGCTGGCTTCCTGGGAGTGTTCTCAGACTTTGATTTGTGACCCATGAATGGATTAGGAAACTCAGTTTAGGTGGTCATGAAGTAGAATACAACTAGTAAGGTAAGTATTATTTTATGAAACTTTCATGTGAATAGTATATCTACAAATTCATTAACTAATTCATTCGATCCCTTGTTCATTCAATAAATACCTGTTGAGCTCTGCCAATGTGGCAGACACTGGGTACTCAGGAGAAATAACATACAAACGTGTCTGTGTGCAAGTGTTGGCAGGCATGTTCAGGGTCATGTTGTAGTATGTCTCTCTCACTGTGTTTACAGTCAAATGGCAAGGCAGCTGCCACTGCCTCGGGGGTTTCGTAGGAAGGTCGGGATGCTGAATTGTGTGGCTACTTCCCTTATATGTCAGAAAGTCACCACATACTTTCTCCATTAAAAAAGAAAACAGGAAACAAAAAGCACAGGCCTCTGTTTCAACCCCTTTTCAGCACAGGGGGCAACATGGGCTGCTTTATAAGTAGCCAGTGTGGCGAGGGTCTGAAAATCAGGGACGAAAACTCTGCTTTCTTTCCTCAGCTATTGTTAGTGTGAATGTGGATGGTTCCTCAGCTCGTGGAACTCGCCTTCCCCATAGGACTGAGAAGGGCCCCCTTTCACATGACTTTTTTCCTCTTTATCCTGTTTTGCTTTCCATTTCCCTCCCCTCTGACCCCTCCACCCAGGGCAAGTCACTGAATCTCCCCGAGGATCCATTGCTTCCCCTGTAAAATAGGAACAACACAAGCAGCCCCTTGCTGGGGTGTTGTGTTGTGAGAAATACAGGAGAACCTGGCTGGGAGGGAGGACGAAAGCTTAGGTTGCCCAGGCCTGTTAAGGACTTAGTGAGGTTGAAGACCTCCTGCCCCAGAAGTGTGGCTTCTGCCACTGTCCCTCTCCTCCCCCTGCACTTCTGCTTTTCTGGGCCCTTAACTCCCCAGTAGGGTGAAGCTGTCAGTCCTGAGCTGGGGAGACTGGGGCTGAGCCTACAGGAAGTGGGGCCTAGACTTAGATGGTGCCAGACTGGGCAAGAGCTGAGAATCATCAGCCCCTCTGATCCTGGCCAGAGGTATTTAGCAACACCAACAATTCTGGGAAATTCAGAGGCAGGAAGTAAAAGGGGGGAAGAACAACGGGAAACCCTGAACCATATTTTTGCCTTCCCGGCCTGGTCCCCCTTCCAAACTGTGTGATGATGAGTAAGGTGACCAGCTTATGGGGGTGATGGGGACAGACCAGGAGACCCTTTCTCTAGGGAGAACAGAGACAGTCCTGTCCCAGCCCCCACTATACTTTGCCCAAGTTCCAACTCCATTTCCATTCTGTTTACTGTCCAAAGTCCCGGGGTCAGGACATGCCAGCATAGAACCTCTTGGACATTCAGACACATGGGCTCAGGGCCCTCACTTGGACCAGCCTCCTCCCCTCCTCTTCTCTCCTGTCTAACACCACCTGCCCCACTTCTCCCAGCCTGCTTGAGGGACCCGGGAGTCAGCTCTTCACACCTTTAACAGGTATTCAAGGTTGGGGAGGCAAGTGGGACTGGGGATGTTTGGGATTAAGGAGACCGTAGGTCAGGGACAGTGGGGGCTGGATGGAAAGATGAGAATGTAGAGGGAAGGCACCTCCCCAGCCATGTCACAGCCTAGGGAATCATCTGAAAAGGGAGAAGACCCGGTTGTATTTCAGGCCCAAACTCACCTCTTTCAGCCCAAACTCACCTCCAACCTCAGACTCAACCCAAGCTGTCTCCTCCACCTGCCCTGACCCTGCCTCCAGTCCCATCCTCAGCCTCCACCTGAACTAGCATTTGAGCAGGAGCACCAGCCCTGAACTGAGCCCCAGCCCTGAGAGCAGCCTCAACAGCAGCCCAGGCCCAGCTCCTGCCCTGGGCCCAGCATGGCGAAGGACTTTCAGGACATCCAGCAGCTGGACTCTGAGGAGAGCGACCACCAGCTCAGTGGGGGTGAGGGGCCAGGCACCTTTAGGCACAATCCCAGGAGAGAAGATGCATTTTGGAAAGGCAAGTATCCGGTTTCCAGGGCTGCACTTCACCTCTCTTTCTCGCTCCTGATGTCTCTGTCTCCCTGAGGTCTCTGTCACATTCACCCTGTGAGCAGGGACCAGTCCCTCTAGGAGTGTGGTGCCAACTCCTTTGCTTGCCCCCTGGCTCCACCTTTCTCTCCACCCTCAGGACCCCAGGAAAGGGTGTGTGTCCAGAGGTGAGGGAATAAGTGGAAGCTGGAGATGACTTCCTCCTCTCTTCCTCCCATCCTTCCTTCTGATAACATGTGCTGTGTGTCTGTGCACATTTGTGTGTGCAAGGAAAGCACATTCAGCCAGGAGAGTGTACACGTATGTGGGAGGGTATGGGGGTGGGTGGATGAGAGGCAATGGACACAGACATACAGAGATATTTCAGAAAATTCCCACTCTCTCCAAGCCCCCCATCTGGATCTTTCTCTAGCAGATCTTGATGGAAGGCCCCTTGTCTAGGAAAAGGTTTTAATGCAAGAGAGACATGAGACCAGGGGTGGGGAGTGGGGCGTGTCAGGTGTGTGGGTGCTGGCAATAGCATGATGCTCTGTGGAGACAGGAGGGGCTGGGACTTGGAGCTCAGGAGAGGAATTGGTTAGCCTGGGCTGGGAGGTGAAACCCCTCATTTCTGAGGCTGGCAGACTGTGGAGGCTGGTGATGTCACAGGTGAGGGTTGGAACCGGGCAGGGCAGGAGCAGCAGGAGGGACAGGCGATCCCACTGAAGGCTTCTCCTTTCCTGGGTAGGGGACTGGCAGGTCTCCCCACTGGGCAGTAGGCTTCAGGGGGCAGACACCACATCTGTCTCACTCCCCTCTGCACCCTCAGTGCCCATATGATGCCTGATAACGTAGTGAAATGATTTTGGATCACTTGACTCATGCTCACTCAAAAAAGATTTTGGATATTGTTGAATCTTTGGAGGTGAGAGGGTTGAGAGTTTTAGCAGGAGGCTTGGAGAGAGGCCGGAGGTCTTGGGTTTCATGGGAGAAGGAGCTCACCCAGAAGGCCTGATGGGAGGCACTACAGGGCAGCTCTGAGATGGCCTGGCCCTCAGCGCGTTCCTCCCCGGCAGCCTCTGCTGCCCTCCTGTGAGCTGGCACCTAGCACCCACCTACCTGCAGCCAAGATGGAATATCCTACAGTTTTCAGCAAATGTGGAAATATTTTGGCCATTGTTATCCTCAGCCTTCTCTCCTTTCTTTCAAGGACCCCAATTCTGCATCTATTAGTGGTCCCACAGTCCACTGATGCTATTTCCACTTTAAAAAAGTTATTTTTTCTCTTAGTGTTTCTTTTTATATATTTTTTATTGTTATGTCTTTAAATTTACTAATCTTTCTTTCCTTATGCATTTCTAATCTTCCATTAACCCCACTCAGTGTAATTTTCATTTCAGACATGTATTTTTTGTGTCTAAAAGTTCAACTTTGGACTTTTATATATCCACCTTGATATTCTACTTAATTTTTTTGAACATATGGAGTACAGTTACAATATCTGTTCTAATGTCCTGTCTGCTAATTCTAGCATCTTTGTGAGTTCTGGATTTGTTTTGGTAGATTTATTAACCTTCTTGTTATAAAATATGTTTTTCTGCTTCTTTGTCTGGTAATCTTTGATTGGATGCTCAATATTGTGAATTTTACCTTGTTGTGTGCTGGATATATTTGTATTCCTCTAAATTTTCTTGAGCTTTTATTCTGGGATGTAGTTAAGTTACTTGGAGTCACCTTGGTCCTTTTGGGCATTGCTTCTATGACTTGTTAGGTGGGTCTGGAGGATGGCCAGCGCAAGGCCTTCTTGGGTCCTCTACCCAAAACCTTGAGGGTTATGTTGTCCAGTCTGGCTGGTGGGAGTAGGCACTGTTCCTGGTCCTGTAGGAGTGTCAGGCACTGCTCCCTAATCCATTCAGATGGTTTTCTCCTGGTCTTGGGTGGTTTTCTTCACACACATGCACTGATCAGCACTCAGCTGATTGCTTGAAGGAAACCCTCCGCTCATCTCTGCATGTCTCTGGGCCGTCTCCTCTGGTACTTTGTCCTGTGAAATCTGATGACCTTAGTTACCTTAAACTCTTGGCTCCATCTCCTTAAGTGGGGGAGTCTGCTGGGCACTGCTTGGTTTGCCCCTCCCTGTCCTGTGGCCTGAAAACTTTCTCCCAACACTAGGCCGGGACAATTGATCGTAGGGCTCATCTAGTTTATGTCCTGTCCCTCGGGGGTCATTGCCCGGTGTTGCTTGAAGTCCAGTGTCTTGAAAATGGTTGTTTATTATTCTGGTTGTCTCTGGGAGGAGGGCATGTCTAGTCCTTGTTATTCCATGTTGGGCAGATCCTTTCTTTTATTTTCAAACTTGCTTAGTCAGTACTTTACATGTTTTAACTAATTTCATTCTCAGTACAGCCCAATCAGGTAGCTACTATTCTTACTTATATTTTTTCTATTGTTGTGAGAACATATAACATGGAATCTGTCCTTTAACAAACTTTAAAGTGAACAACACTGCTTCATTAACCATAGGCACATGGACGTTCAGCTGATCTCTCAAACTTATACATCTTGCGCAGTTATAACTTTATACCCATTGAACAGCAACTCCCAGTTTCCCAAGCCCCAGCCCCTGGCAACCACCACTCTTCTCTCTGTTTCTATGAGTTTGACTACTTTAGATTGTATAAGTGGACACAAGAAAACCATGGGGATGAATGACTTGCTTATGACCTCAGAGCTAGTTGGTGGCACAGCTGGACTCAGCCATGGGTGGTCTTGTTTCAGGACACAGGTGCAGAGAGATTGTTGAGCTGACTCAGAGCGGAGGGTTTATAGGTCATAGGTCAGTGGGAAGCAGAACAAGGGCCCACTGAGTGGACAGTATTGGAGAGGGCAGTCAGAGGCTCAGCCATGGAGTACTAGCTGGGTTGGGGAGACTGGTTTGGGAGAGCTCTCTAGAAGAACAAAAACTCAGGGGATGAGGAAAGACATGTGTGGGGAGAAGCAAAGGGAAGGCAGTGCTCACAGCAGGAAACAGGCAGTGGAGGTGTCAAAGACATGGCTTTTCTGGGTCCAGATGGGGTCCTGAGTGTGGCTGAAGTGGAAGAAGGTGACAGATATTGGTGTGAAGAGGTCAAGTGATCTGGGTGATTACTCATGGGGACAACTCACGATGGTGGCAACTGAGGGACTGGAGAGGAAGATGCTGGACCTCTGAGTATCCCCAGGATGTGAGGCTCCATAGGTGCGATGGGAGTGAGAAGAGAGGGGAGGTCAGGGTTTAAGGCAACAAGAAGGAGGCATTTTCTTAGAGGTGGATGGTGCCAATTGCAGAAGCCAGGCCTGGAGGGATGAAGCCAGTTCTGTGCATGTGAGAATGTGGGTGCATGTGTGTATGTGTGTGGGAACACATGTGTCACTGGGTGTATATGCGCAAGAAAGTATGTGAATGTGTTAAAGAATGAGAGATTGTGTATGAGAATGTGTGTGGTAATGTGTATGAATGTGAGAATGTGTGTTAATGATGCGTTTGCTTGTCCTGGGCCTCAATGCCCTGCTGATGGTGGCCATCCATGTAATTGGGTCCCAGAGTGAGGATCACAGGGGCCGGTGGGGATGGGACCACGATGGGAGGGGGTGTGGGCAGCACGGAGGGTGGTGAGTGTGTGTGCAGTAATGAGTGTGAGAGTGAAATGAAAAATGCATATGTGTGTGTGGCTGTGTTTTCAGTATTCAGCTTGATGAAGAGGAGGGAGAGGGTTCTGTGAAATGACTGAGGGCTAAGGGGAGGGTGTTTGTGGTGGGGCAAGGGTTTCTGGGGTGAAGGGGCAGAGAGACCTGGGAGATGAGGCTCTGAAGGCTGGGGGATGAGAGAGCTGGGGCTTGAAGGGCAGCCCTCATGGAGTGGTCTGTGGTGGAATGCCCTTGGACTTAAACATCCCACTGGAAGTGGGGGTGGTTGTGGTGGGGCTTCTACTTTTGGGTCTGAGAGGCCCAGCTCTAAGACTGGGGCTTTAAACACAGCTGATGTGAGTATCAGTACCACATGCAGGTGTGCTGTATGCCCATGTAGGTGTGTGCATGTGTGCAAATGAGTGTGTGTGCAACACTTAAATGCCAGGGTTAAAGCCCATTGACTCCCCCAAACAACACTCCCCAGCTACTTTCCTATCACCTGCCTGGGCTGCACTTCCGCAGACTTCTGTTCCCCTGGTGCTTCCATTAGGTGGGATCTAGGCGGTACTGCTCCTGACGCCCCTTCTCTTGCAGGGACTCCTGCACCCCAGCCCCTTCTGCTGCAGAGTCTCCACCCCAGGCTCTGGCTCAATCTGCTGGTCCTAGGCTTCAACCTCCTGCTGTTGGTGACCATCTGTGTGATTGGGTCCCAAAGTGAGGATCACAGGGGCCAGCAGAGATGGGGTGGCAATGGGAAGGGGGATGTGTGCAGTGCAGGGGGGTGGTAAGAGTTATTACAGGGGAAGAGAGGGAGGCAGTACGGGGCAGAGCTGGGGCACGTATGGGGGCAGTTAGGGGGTAGTGAGGGGACAGTGCTGTGGACAGTGATGAGGCTGTCCCATGGGGCACAGCCCCCTCCACTTTGTCCTGTGTCCTCTCTCTCCTGACAAGGAGCACAGATGCAAGTGGAGTTTTGGACCCTAAAACAAGCTTTCAGCAACTTCTCCTCCAGCACCCTGGCAGAGATCCAGGCTCTCAGCTTCCACGGTGAGTGGGTGCACTTGGGAGGGGAGGGCCGGGGGGTTGGGCCGCTGAGGCAGTTTACTAGCACAGGTTTGCTGGATTCCAAGGTGGTGCCCAGTGTGGGGTTTGCAAAGGGGTGTGTTTGGGGTGCTGTGGGCAGATAACCCAGCCTGAGATGCAGAGCAGTTTCCAGGGATGCTGTTCCCCAGGCTAAAGGACCCTGAATGATGAATAGGCAGGTGAAGAGGGTGGGGGTTAGTACCAGGTAGAGAGAATGAATCTGTGGTTACTGGGAGATGAGGAAGACCACTGCACATTTTGGGGCAATAAACACTTGCAGTGTGGCAGGAGCTAAGTGGAGAGGTGTGGTGGGTAGGGTCCAGGCCATGGAAGCAAGCTGTGTAAATAAAGTGAGGCTTTCTTTTGAGAAAATGCAGACCTATGGAAGGGGTTTGCCCAGGGGAGTGACCTGAGCGGGTTTGTTCCTCAGAAAGCCAGAGCAGCAGGGTGCAGGGAGACTGGGCAGAGCTGCGGGGACTGAGAGCAGGGCCTGGAACCTCCCAGGTGAAGGTGACAGGTGGCTCCAACTGCTGCTCCAGGGGCTGAGGATGGAGGGATGTTAAGGAGGCAGAATGGAGGGAAACGGTTTAACCTTCTTCTTTTTCAGGAAGCAGCACAGGTGACAGAGTGACAGCTTTGGAAGCCAAGCTGGAGAAACAGAAGCAGGACCTGAAAGCAGGTCGGAGACCCTCCCTTGAGTGTGTGATATGTGAGAGGGTGTTTATGTGTGAGAGAGAGTAATGTATATGGTGTGTGTGTGTGAGTGATGTGTGTGTATGTGTGAGTATGTGGTGTGAGTGATATGTTTGTTGTGCGTCTCTGAGTGAGTGTGTAGAGTATGGTATATGCGATTGATGTGTGTGTTGAGTTTTCCCAGACAAAGCCTGGGTTCCTGTGCAGGGCCCTGGCAGATGGGGCACTCATACTGCCCGAATCATTATCTATCATTCTGTCCCCCTAGATCATGACACCCTGCTCTTTCATCTGAAGCACTTCCCGTTTGATCTGCGCATTCTGGCTTGCCAGCTGGTGTTTCTGCGAAGCAATGGTAGGGAGAGGGGACGTCTCCCGTCCAGGGCGTGCCTGTGGCCTCCAGCTGGATCTCATCTCCCATTGCTACTGCCATCTCCTCAGGCACAGAATGCTGCCCCATTAACTGGCTGGAGCATGAAGGCAGCTGCTACTGGTTCTCTCGCTCTGGGCTGACCTGGCCTGAGGCTCAGAAGTTCTGTGAGGTGGAGAACGCGCACCTGGTCGTCATCAACTCCAGAAAGGAGCAGGTGAACCATACCCTTCCCAAAAGCAGAAGGCAACCTCTGGAGTGCAAACTCTGGGAAGCTGGACCAGGCTGGCTTTATTATTATTTTTTAACCTAGGAAAGAATTCAGAAGCAGAAGTCTGGCAGAACTCTGGGAGGTTCAGAGCAGAGTAGCCACTGATTCTAAGAGGTGGGAGGTGACAGCCAGGAGCTCAGGCAGAGGGGCAGGAGCCAAGAGAGCAGGGGGTGAAGAACAGGTCACCCTTGGAGACAGATTGAAAGACAGGATGAACTAAATAAAGTAAGACTTGGGTGGAGAGCACAAAGTCCCTTCCTGTTGTGTGCTGGCCTAGGGGTGTGGTGGCAGATTGGGTGAAAGGAACAGAGTGGGTAGGATTCCCAATGACGTGCCTGCCACAGCACTACAGGTCTCACCTGCCCCCTGCAGTCACCAGGCCCCAACCCCAAACACCAAAGTTCACAGGGAAAAACCAACCTGTTAGAATAGGTGAGCATTTCTTTTTTGAAAAGGAGCATATTAATGGTAACACTTACTTAGTCCTTACTAAGAACAGGCACTTTCATATGTATTCCTTTAACCCTCACACTCCCACAAGCAGGTGCTCTTATAATTCCCATTTTTGAGGAAGCGAGAGGTGAGGGAACAAAGGAACAGGGAAGCTAAGGGACTTGCTGTGTAGGTAGTAAGTCAGGATGGAGCCAGAATTCAAAACCACTCTACCTCCTTAGCCAGTGTTCTCAACTGCTACACATTGCTCGAATACATTCAGTTTACATTGTGCAATAATTACAGACATATTTAGCTTTACCAATCAGGTTGAAATTGCCAATTGCAATGAATTTTGACCTATAAAAATGTCAGTTTCACATGGGCCAGTGTAAGATTCCAGCGCTCTGCCAGCTGGCCCACAAGACTCAGCGAGCTGGTCTCGATGACAGTGGCTTCCTGTTCCGTGGGCTGTGCTCATCACGGTGCGGCGAACATCAGCATTGGCTTTGATACTTTTGCCTCAAGTTCATCTTTACATGACATAAATAGAATGGATCTTGATTTTTTTCACTTGCATTTGCTGAATGTAGCTCTGTCCATCTTTTCATTTCCAACCTTTTGAGTCTCTGTTTTGGATTAATGCTTCTCAGCCTTGGCTCTATATTATTAATATAAGCCTTTACACTTGGGGAGTTTAAAAATTCTGATTTAATTAATCTTGGATTCATCTGTGGCATTGAGATTTTTTTTTTAGTTTTCAAATTTTACTCTTGTTTATTCTGTTACAGTTGTCCCAACCCCCCCCTTTGCCCTCCTCCATCCTGCCCCATCCCCTGCTCCCACCATCCATCCCCACCCTGTTGTCCATATCTGTGGGTCATTCATACATGTTCTTTCACTACTCCCTTCCCCTTCTTTCCACCATCCCCCCACCCCCTATATTCTGGCCACTGTTAGTCTGTTCCCTGTTTCCATGTCTCTGTTTCTATTTTTTCTAAGTTTGTTTTGTTTACTAGATTCCTCTTATAAGTGGTATCACATGGTATTTGTGTTTCACCAACTGGCTTATTTCACTTAGTGTAATGTTTTTAAAAGTTACCCTGACTGATGCTACTGTGTGTGCAGCTCAAGGTATTTCTCTTATCCATTGTGCATTAAGTTTTTTAAAAATATATTTTATTGAGTATGCCATTACAGTTCTATTTCCCCTCTTCATTCCCCTCCACCTTGCACACTCCTCCCCCACTGCTCCCCCCTTAATTTATGACCATGTGTCTTAAGTTCTTTAGATTCTATATTTCCCATATTATTCTCACCCCCCCCCATTTTCTACCTACCGTTAATGCTACTTATTTTCTGTACCTTCTCCCCCCTTCTCCTCCTCCCACTCCCCTGTTGCTAACCCTCCATGTGATCTTCATTTCTATGGTTTGCTCCTGATCTAGCTGTCCTCTTAATTTGCTTTTGTTTTAGGTGTTGTTGTTAATAACTGTGAGTTTGCTGTCCTTTCACTGTTCATCTTTTTTATCTTCTTTTTCTTAGGTAAGTCCCTTTAACATTCCATATGATAAGAGCTTGGTGATGATGAACTTCTCGAATTTGATCTTATCTGAGAAGCACTTTATCTGCCCTTCCATTCTAAATGAAAGCTTTGATGGATAGAGCAATCTTGGATATAGGTCTGGATTTCATGACTTGGAATACTTCTTTCCAGCCCCTTCTTGCCTGTAAGGTCTCTTTTGAGAAGTCAACTGACAGTCTGATGGGAACTCCTTTGTAGGTGACTGTCCCCTTATCTCTTGCTGCTTCTAAAATTCTCTCCTTCATTTTAACCTTGGCTAATGTAATGATGATGTGCCTTGGTGTGTTCCTTCTTGGGTCCAACTTCTTTGGGACTCTCTGAGCTTCCTGGATTTCCTGGAAGTCTGCTGCTTTTGCCAGATTGGGGAAGTTCTCCTTTATTATTTGTTCAAATAAGGTTTCCACTTGCTCTTCCTCTTCCCCTTCTGGTACCCCTATAATTCGGATGTTGGAGCATTTAAAGATGTCCTGAAGGCTCCTAAGCCTCTTCTCATTTTTTTGAATTCTTCTTTCTTCATATTTTTCTGTTTGGTCACTTTTTCTTCCTTCTGGTCCACTCCCTTGATTTGAGTCCCAGTTTTCTTTCCATCACTATTGGTTTCCTGTGCATTTCCCTTCATTTCAATTAGTTTAGACTTCATATGTTCCTCTAATTTGTGACTAAAATCGACCAGTTCTGTGAGCATCCTAATCACCAGTGTTTTGAACTGTGCATCTGATAGGTTGGCTATTTCTTGGTCACTAAAATTTATCGGCTCTGGGGTCTTGCGTTCTTCTTGAGCCATAATGTTTTGGTCTGTTCGCGCCTGTTACGTATGAGGGGCAGAGCCCTAGGTGTTCACCCCAGTGGGGCAACTCAGTTGCTGGGTTGTGAGGCTGTATGTGGGGCATGGTCAAAGAGGGGCTATGGTGGTCCCCTCTGCTGCTTCCCGTCACTGGGGCCTGTGCGGTCTGTCTCCCTGCTCGCTCCTTTGTCTGGTTTATCTGTGTGTGAATGTGTGACCGTGGTCAGCCTTGTGCCCTCATTGGGTCCACCCATTGCTACTCCATGCCTGGGATCCATCCATGGCTGCCTGCACGCCTGGGTCGGGGGATCTTTTCTGACCAACCTGCTCTGCTGCTGGTTCTGCCCCTCTTACCGGTCTGGCTGAACGGTTAGTTTTTGTTGGACTTCTATATAGTTCAATTTTCTGTGTTTTAGCTGCATTTTCTGTTACTAAAACTTTATTGTCTTTAAACTTGGTTGTGGGAGAAGGCACAGTGTTTCCACCTGTGCCTCCATCTTGGCGGAAGTCCCCATAAGTTTTGTTTTTAGTGTTAAAAATTGAGGGAGTCTTTTAATAGATGTGTTGAGGTGGACCCCAAAATTTCCTAAATTACTCCTGGGGGGCAGGCCACTTGTAGTATAGGTTTTTCTTGCTAGGTGAGTGTTCTAGAAACCCATCTATATGAGTGTACCAGCAGGCATTGTTGTAAGAGGCTGTATTTGGCTTAAGTGAATTCTTTTGAAGATTCTTTCAACGCACTTTCCCATTTCATGATGGGTGATTTACAAGTGCACCTGCTCATACCACACTGAGTGTTCAGAAGTTTTTGACCAAAAATGGCATGAGCCCTGTGCCCCACTCTCCTTATTCACCTGATCTTGATCTCACCCCCAGAGACTTTTTTTTTTTGTTTCCCTGGATGAAAAAAGTCCTCAAAGGGAAATGTTTTGCTGATGTGGAAGAAATGAAACAAAAAATGGCAGAAGCAATAAAAAGCATCAAAACTGATGAGTTCAAAAACTGTTTTGAGCAGTGGAAAAAATGTCTCAATAGGTGTATTGCACCAAATGGAGAGTATGCTGAAGGTGATTAAAGTTTAAACATGTAAGAATAAATACACAGTTTTTAATAAATATATTGGTTTTGGGGGTCACCCTCATGTCTAATTTATTTTTAATAGATATGTTTAACCTGCATTTGCCTTTTTTTCTGTTTACATTCTTCTGTTTTCTCACATTTGTTGTGTAAGATGTGTTTTTATTTTCTTCCCCTACAGTATTTTGTACTGTTTATAGTTATAACAGTGATTCCTTTTATAACTTCAAATGATGGGCTGAATAAAATCAAGGAGTTGCCCTGGCCTGGTGACTCAGTTGGTTAGAGCACCATCCACACACTAAACAATTGTAGGTTCCATCCCCAGTCAAGGCACATTCTTAGGTTTCAGGTTCGATCTCCAGTAAGGGCATGTTCAGGACGCAACCGATTGTTCTTTTTCTCTCCCTTCCTTTCTCGGAAGGGAGATGTTAAAATCTCCCTTGTTAAAACCATCTCTGATGTTAAAATCAATAAACATATCCTTGGATGAGGATTTTAAAAAATCAAGGAGTTTATATAGTTTTTCATAAGAAATATGAGGAAACCAGGACACTTTTTTACACACCTCACTCTTTTTAAAAAAATTTTATTGATTATGCTATTACAGTTGTCCCATTTTCCATCCTTTATTCCCCTCTGCCCTGCACACCCCCTCCTACCCATATTCCCACCCTCCTTAGTTCATGTCCATGGGTTGTACATATAAGTTCTTTGGCTTCTCCATTTCCCATACTGTTCTTAAACCCCCCCCCTGTCGATTTTGTACCTACCAATTATGCTGCTTATTTCCTGTATCTTTTCCCCCATTCTCCCCTTTCCCCTCCCCACTGATAACTCTCCATGTGATCTCCATTTCTGTGATTCTCTTTCTAATTGTTTGCTTAGTTTGTTTTTGTTTTTATTTTTAGGTTTGGTTGTTGATAGTTGTGAGTTTGTTCTCATTTTACTGTTCATATTTCCTTTAACATTTCATATAATAAGGGCTTGGTGATGATGAACGTCTTTAACTTGACATTATCTGAGAAGCACTTTATCTGCCCTTCCATTCTAAATGATAGCTTTGCTGGATAGAGTAATCTTGGATATAAGTCCTTGCCTTTCATGACTTGGAATACTTCTTTCCAGCCTCTTCCTGCCTGTATGATTTCTTTTGAGAAATCAGCTGATAGTCTTATGGGTACATTTTTGTGGGTGACTGTCTCCTTTTCTCTTGTTGCTTTTAAGATTCTCTCCTTCTCTTTAACCTTGGGTAATGTAATTATGATGTGCCTTGGTGCGTGCTTCCTTGGGTCCAACCTCTTTGAGACTCTCTGAGCTTCCATACTTCCTGGAAGTCTATTTCTTTTGCCAGATTGGGGAAGTTCTCCTTCATTACTTTTTCAAATAAGTTTTCAATTTTTTGCTCTTCCTCATCTCCTTCTGGTACCCCTATGATTCAGATGTTGGAACATTTAATGTAATCCTGGAGGTTCCTAAGCCTCTCCTCATTTTTTAAAATTCTTATTTCTTCATTCCGTTGTGGTTGAATGTTTCTTTCTTCCTTCTGCTTCAAATCATTGATTTGAGTCCCGGTTTCTTTCCCTTCACTGTTGGTTCTCTGTACATTTTCCTTTATTTCATTTTTTATAGCCTTAATTTTTTCCTCTATTTTGTGACCATACTCAACCAATTCTGTGAGCATCCTGATTACCAGGGTTTTGCACTCTGCATTTGATAGGTTGGCTATCTTTTCACCACTTGGTTGTATTTTTTTTGGAGCTTTGATCTGTTTTTTTCATTTGGGTCCTATTTTTTTTTGTCTCATCATGCCATTTACATAGTAAGGGGTGGAGCCTTAGGTATTCAGCAGGGTGGGCAACCTACTCTGTTGCCTTGTAGTACTGTGTGTGGGGGAGGGGTCAGAGAGGAAACATGACACTTGCTGGGCTCTTTGCTGACTTTCAGTCACTTCCCCTGCTATCCACAAGCAAATTGGGCCCTTCTGGTGATGATTCCTGGGTGGATGGGTTTGTGTGCATTCAAGGACCTTGTCGGTCTGTCCAATAAACTCTCGTGTGAGACTGGGAGTTTCTCTGTTTGCAGTAACCCCCACAGAATTTTTCAGTCAGAGGTTTTGAGACTTTATTTCATGGCCTGGAGGCCTGGGTTGCACAGTCTGTCTCATTCCCCATTTGTTCTTACCAGATTATCCACCCGCAAATGTGGGACTGCCCGCTTCACCAGTGGCTGCCTTGCTATGAGTCCTCTCCACCCAGCTGTTCCTCTCTGCCCCTCCTACCAGTCTGGATGAATGTTTTTTATTTAACTTCTTGGTTGCCAAACTTTCATACAGTTTGATTTTCAGCAGTTCTGTGGGGTTTTTTGTTTTTAAATTTGTTGTTGTCCTTCTTTTGGTTGTGTGAGGAGGCAAAATGTTTCTACCCTACACCTCCATCTTGGCTGAACTCATTCTTTCTTTTTAAAATTGAGATATAACTGACATATAACAGTTTATAAGTTTGAGGTCTATACATATTGGTTTGATACATTTACATATTGCAATATGATTACCACACTAGCATTAACTATTACCTCTTTTGTGTTATATAATTGTCATTTTTTTGTTCCCCAATGTTTATTGTTTTTTTGGCTTTTATTTATTTATTTTAATATATTTTTTATTTTATTGATTATGCCATTACATTTGTTCTATTCCCCCCTCTGTTCCCCTCCACCCTGCACACCCCTCCCCCACCATTCCCCCCCTTTAGTTCATGAACACGTGTCTCAAGTTCTTTAGATTCTATATTTCCCCTACTATTCTTACCCTCCCCCTATCTATTTTCTACCTACTGTCTATGCTACTTATTTTCTGTACCTTCTCCCCCTTCTCTTCCTCCCACTCCCCTGTTGCTAACCCTCCATGTGATCTTCATTTTTATGGTTCACTCCTGATCTAGCTGTCCTCTAAATTTGCTTTTGTTTTAGGTGTTGTTGTTAATAACTGTGTTTGCTGTCCTTTCACTGTTCATCTTTTTTATCTTCTTTTTCTTAGGTAAGTCCCTTTTACATTTCATATAATAAGGGCTTGGTGATGATGAACTTCTCGAATTTGATCTTATCTGAGAAGCACTTTATCTGTCCTTTCATTCTAAATGAAAGCTTTGATGGATAGAGCAATCTTGGATGTAGGTCTGGATTTCATGACTTGGAATACTTCTATCCAGCCCCTTCTTGCCTGTAAGGTCTCTTTTGAGAAGTCAACTGACAGTCTGATGGGAACTCCTTTGTAGGTGACTGTCCCCTTAGCTCTTGTTGCTTCTAGGATTCTCTCCTTCATTTTAACCTTGGCTAATGTAATGATGATGTGCCTTGGTGTGTTCCTTCTTGGGTCCAACTTCTTTGGGACTCTCTGAGCTTCCTGGATTTCCTGGAAGTCTATTGCCTTTGCCAGAATGGGGAAGTTCTCTTTTATTATTTGTTCAAATAAGGTTTCCACTGGTGACTGTTCCTCTTCCCCTTCTGGTACCCCTATAATTCGGATGTTGGAGCGTTTAAAGATGTCCTGGAGGTTCCTAAGCCTCTCCTCATTTTTTTGAATTCTTGTTTCTTCATTCTTTTCTGTTTGGTCATTTTTTTCTTCCTTCTGGTCCGCTCCCTTGATTTGAGTCCCAGTTTCCTTTCCATTACTTTTGGTTTCCTGTGTATTTCCATTCATTTAAATTAGTTTAGCCTTCATATGTTCCTCTAATTTGTGACTAAAATCAACCAGTTCTGTGAGCATCCTGATCACCAGTGTTTTGAACTGTGCATCTGAAAGTTTGGCTATTTCTTCATTGCTTAGATTTATTGGCTCTGGGGCTCTGAGTTGTTCTTGAGCCATGTTTTGATCTGTTTGTGCCTGTTACGTATACGGAGAGGTGCCTTTTAGGTGTTCACCAGGGCGGGGCCACCCAGGTTGCTTGTTTGCGATGTTGTATGTGGGGGCAGGGTTAGAGAGGGAGCAATGGCGGTCCTCTCCGCTTGCCCAGTCTGCCTCACCACTTTCCCACACCTGTTTATCTGAGCACAAATGTGCAAGCCCGCCGCCCTGCACTGCCGGGGCCTGCGAGATCTGTCTCAATGCTTGCCTCTTCATTGGTTTATCTGCGTGCAAATGCATGACCAACCGCAGACAGCCAGCTGCACCTCTTCCCTGGGTCCACCTGTAGCTAGCCCGCACCTGGGATCCGTGCCCTCAGCTGCCTGCACACCGCCCGGGTGGGGGGATCTTTTTTGCCGACCTGCTCCACTGCTGGCTTCTCCCTTCTCACTGGTTTAGCTGAGTGGTTTGTTATTTTCGGACTCTGTATTGTTCCATTTTCTGTGTGGTTTGGTTGCGTTTATTGTTGTTAAAACTTTGTCGCTTTTAGATTTGGTTGTGTGAGGACACAAAGTGTTTCCACCTACGCCTCCATCTTGGTGGAAGTCTAATTGTCATTTCTTTTATGTGTTGAGAACAAGGAAGATCTAGTTTCTTAGCAATTTGGAAGTTTATAATGCCTTGTTCTTTTCTTCTCTTATATTCCTTAAGTGTTTCGCCTGAAGAATTGGAGCCTTTTCTATGTTTTAAAATTTCATTTATCTCATCCAGATATATTTTGGTGTTGCTCATTCTATATTTTTTCTCTGAGTCCAGGAGAGTCCTTTTATTATTTAACTTAGGTTTTCTAACATTTTATTTTATTATTTTTATTTTTAATCCTTACCTGAGGATATGTTTGTTGATTTTGGAGAGAGAGAAGGGGAAGAGAGAGAGAGAGAGAGAGAGAGAGAGACATTGGTCAGTTGCCACTCATGTGCCCAAACCGGAGATTGAAACCTCAACTTAGGTATATGCCCTGACCCTAAATTGAACCCAAAACCTTATGGTGCATGGGACCATGCTCTAACCAACTGAGCCACATGGGTAGAGTGAGGTTTTTTCACACTGTAGATTTTCTTAAGTCACATATGTGAATATTTTTTTGTCCATTTGTTCTCTTTTCCTCTGGAACATATCATCCAAAAGTATCTCCATTGTCTGCCTTCCACAGCCATCAACTTGTTTCCATTACTTTCATCTTTCTCTGTTTTCTACTGCATTCTGAGTCCTTTTCTCAGGCCCATTTTTATATCTCAGACTTGGCTTGCTGCTGAGATCCTTGGTTGTTTTTATACAGCTCAAATTGTTCTCTTACATGTCTTCTTTTTAGTTATTATATTGTGTTATCTTTCTTTTAAAATATATTTCTTGATATTTTATGTCATTCATCTCCTCTTTAATTTTTAAAAAAATAACTAATTTTAATTTGTAATTTATTGATGAGAGAGACATTAATTTGTTGTTACAATTATTTACACATTCATTGGTTTCTTCTTGTATGTACCCTCCCAATGTTCAAACATGTAACCTTGATGTATCAGAATGATGCTCTAACCAACTGAGCTGCCTGGCTGGGGCATCTCTTCTTTAATTTTTCTGAGGCTGTAAAAAAGTTGTTCTCCAACATCCATTTCTGTTCTAAAAGATGCCTTTTATTCAAAGTATATTTTTCAACTCTCTTTTGTGATATCACAGTTCTTTCATCCTCCTCCTCATCCTCTTTATTTTTGCATAGGTTTCATGATAATTCCCCTCTCTACCACTTTTATAAATGGGCACAATTCTTTCTTGCCTGTTATTTACCCATGAACCAGGGAGATGAATTCTCCTGGATTATTTTCTTTGCTTATTTTGCACTATTAGATTCCTCTCATGAGTCTGACGCAGAGGGCTGGGTTTTTGTTCATTTGTATTCTTTGTTCAGTTATTCAGCTTCTTGTGGTTTGGGGAGAGGGGACTGGGCAGCAGGCAGCAGCAAATAGAATATCTTGTCTACAGCTCTATTGACTTCTGAATTTGGATAATAGCCCCCCAACCTCCAAGGGCTGCCCTTGCAACACAGGACATTATCCTATTTGCAGGATTCTAGAATCCAAGGATGCTCCTATATCTGCCCTCAGATGATGAGACTAACGGTAATCTTAGGTGTGTCTCTAGGATGTGAGTGGAACCAGGAATTTGTTTCTACCTGTAGTTGGAGACCCTTCACATGCTGTCAAAGGGAACTAATTGCTAAGTGTGGATGTTGGCCAACCCATCCCTCTGCTTTTTCCACTCTCTCCCCCTCTACCCAGGGCAGCTTCCTGTGTTTATCACAGACTTCCAGACCCCATGTAGTCAAGTCATAATGGACTCTGGGTAGTGGGTCCAATGGGAAGCCCTAGGACCTGGTGAACTTTTGGAAATGACAGCTAGACATAGAAACCAAGGGCTCCATGGGGACCATCAGGACAAGGGCCAGAGATGGGATCCTGAGTTTGAGGTTGTGGGCAGAAGACAACGAGAGGACTAGAGCTGCAGCAGCATCCATGAGTTGAGAATAAAGTGAGGGGCCAGATTGGGGGCAGCAGTCATACACTTGGGCACTGCATTGACTTTTTGGGCTCCACCAGCTACTGTGAGTTCCTTAACATCACATGTAAGTTAGGGCAACCATTTTAGAGGGTTTATGAGGATTTAATAAAATAATCTTTGTGAAGCACTCAGCATGTACTTTAGTGCAGTAAACATTCTCTAAAGCAGGGGTCCCCAACCCCTGGGACCCAGACCCAGACTGAGGCCACAAAGTAGGACGTGAGCAGTAGGTGATCAAAGCTTCATCTGCATGTACATATTTACAGCTGCTCTCCATCACTTCCATTACCACCTGAGCTCTGCCTCCTATCAGATCATTCATAGCATTGATTCTCACAGGAGCATGAACCCTGCTGTGAACTGTGCATGTGAGGGCTCTAGGTTGCTCACTCCTTATGAGAATTTAGTGCCTGATGATCAGAGGTGGAGCTGTCTCCCATCACCTCCAGATGGGAACCGTCCAATTGCAGGAAAACAAGCTCAGGGCTCCTACTGGTTCTGTATTATGGTGAGTTGCATAATCATTTCATTATATATTATAATGTAATAATAATAGAAATAAAGTGCACAATAAATGTAGTGTGCTTGAATCATCCCCAGACCATCTCCTCTCCCTGCTCCCCAGTCCATGAAAAAATTGTCTTCCACGAAACCCATCCCTGTGCCAGAAAGGTTGGGGACCACTGCTCTAAACAATAGCTTAGGTTACAATAGAAAAAGTGAGGACTTTTTTTTGGAGGGGAGATGATACTTCAGCTTAGGGGCAGATCAGGCTGGGGAAGTGTAGAGGGAACCACAGCTAATGATTGCATGGAGCTACAAGGGACTAGAAACTTCCCTCCCACCTGTTTTCCAGCAATTCATTGTACAGCACACGCGCCCCTTTCATACCTGGATAGGTCTCACTGAGATCGATGGTTCCTGGAAATGGGTGGATGGCACAGACTACAGTAATAGCTACAAGTAAGTGCCCTCTCCCTGGCCTAGTTTGGCCTGGGGATGGCCACCTGGACTTTTGCCCCTAATATCCCTACCCATCCTTAGAGACCAAATTCCCCAACCCTCTCCCTTTCAGACTCCCAACCTCCAAGGCTGCAGCTTCTGCTTCCTGAATTCTCCAAGGCTATGCTTTTCTGATATGGGGATGAGGATTGCTGGAATAGGGGTGGTGAGAGCTTCATCTCTGTCCTGCTTTTCTAGGAACTGGAATGTCCCTTGGCTAGATAACTGGAGAGGGCATGAACAGGGAGGAAGTGAAGACTGTGCTGAAGTCCGAGTGGATGGCCGCTGGTCTCACAATTTCTGCCAGCAAGTGCAACGCTGGACATGTGAGATGAGACGGAACATTACCGGCTAGGAGTTCTGACCTCCAGCAAATCTGTCTGTACCCCATTCCCATGCTGCCCCCAGCTTCTCTTCTGGGGATTTTGAAGATAGTCAGGGGCATGGGGAGGAATTGAGGGAAGATAGAAGAGGATAGTTTAAGAATCTCAGACCCTGGGGAGGCAGATCCCAGCCTCCTGCTACTCACTGAGATTATTATCATTTTCAGCCTCCTCACTGGAGTAGAAGAAGAAACAAATACTTGAAACTCTGTGTGGACTAGTTATTTGGAACTGGGAAATGTAGTGTGCAAAGAATAGGGAGCAGAGAGCATCTGGAAGAAAGTTTAAGTCACAGACAGCTTCGCCTAGGTACCCAATCTCTTAGGAATGGCAGGGGTGGGGCAGGGGATCTTGGAGCAGAAGCATTCAGTAGAAGGCACTGAGGTTTGGGGGTGGGGGAAGGAGCTGGCTGGGCTGGGTTGGAGGGTCTGCCCACACACTGAGGGGTTCCTGGAGGAAGCGGCCTTCTCTGCAGCTGGGATTTGCTCCAGAAGAGGTTTCAGGGAGCACCCCACTTTCCTCAGCCCAGGAACTGTGGAGTGGACTAGCAAGGCCAGTGAAAAATGTTTGCTAAGAGAAGGAGGATTGGTAACAGACTTTTCCACTGTTTTCAGTGTGGCTGCTTCTTTTTGACCCCAGACAAATCTAGACATATATTCAGCACAGGGTGGCACCAACTATTTCACAGTGGATAAATGTCATCTTCCAAGATCATTCTAAAACCAATCTTAGAAGGATCTTTAAGCAAATAGATTTTTTGTTTTATTTTTATTGCAAAAGTAATATATACTATTAGTGGAAAATATTTTAAACGCACAGACATGTGGAGAGATTTGTGATAAGGAGTTGGCTCTTGAGATTATGGAGGCTCAGAAGACCCAAGTTCCTCAGGTAAGCAGGCAAGCTGGAGGCCCTGGAGAGACAATGGTGTAGTTCCACTCAAAGGCAACAGACTAAAGACCCAGAGAGAGATGATGTTTCCCTTCAAATCCAGAGGCAGGAAAAAAGCCAATGCCCCAATCTGAAGTGGGTCAGGCAGGAAAAACTCTCTTGTACTCATGTAGGGTCAGCCTTCTTGTTCTAGTCAGGGCTTCAGCTGGTTGGATAAGGCCCAACCACACTAGGGTGAGCAATCTACTTTCCTGGGTCCACTGATTCAAAGCTTACTCTTATCTAAAAACACCTTCATAGACACACAGAATAGTGTTTGACCACTATTCTAGGCATCTTGTGGCCCAGTAAAATTGACATATGAAATTAACCATTATAGGTTTCCTATCAGGATGTTTCCTGTGTATGTGCACATATTCAAATACTACATTTCACTAGTGGCTTGCTTTTTTCACTTTCCAGTGTCTTGTGGACATTGATCTAATCTATGCTATTCCCTGAGAAGTTTTACCTTGTGGAGCTTAGCAGGGGTGGAAATTCCAAAAGACAGATATGCCATATGTTATTTCATCATTTCCTGTGGTAGATAGATAGGAGTTGGCATTTTTGTATGTTTTCACATATAATGTTTCAAGTAATTTTTGCTTCTAACTTTGTGTCAGGTAAAGCCTTCCTAATTTTCAGCTGCATAATTTTTTAGGACTTCTCCTTCCAAACATATATGATTGGTATAAAGTAAAAAATATTTTGAAAGTAATAATACATGCATTTAAAGTCTTGTGGGACAAGAAAAAGCCACTCCTGTTGTCCAGAGAAAACCAGTTTCAGGTTTTAGCTGTTTCTTCCTATATGGACATCTGAATTTCTGAATAATGCATATAAACAGATATATCTTTATTTACCAATTGTTGACAGATATTATTTAGTCACTATCATGTAGATGAGGTACAATTTTCCAAATGAGTCTACAATTTCTTTTTAAATCATAATTCAGAATCTGTACCAGTTATGGCTGCATCAGTAGTGTTAACTGCTGAGCTAAGTAGTATAATTAATTAGATTTCCTTTCTGGTCCAACTTTTATTTCTTCTGAAGTTCATAATTATTTCATTTAAAAATGTACTGCATACTCTAATTTCTCAAGATGGTGGCATAGGTAAACACAGCTCACCTCTTCACACAACCATATCACAATTACAACTAAATTATAGAACAATCATCACTCAGAACCATCAGAAATCAAATTTAATGGAAGTTTGACAACCATGGACTTAAAGAAACCACATCTATCCAGATTGGTAGGAGAGGTGGAGACATGGAACAGGCTGGTTCCACATCCATGTGTGGCGGATAAAAATTTGGGAGGGATATCTTGGGAACAAGGAGTCCTAGCCCTATACCAGGCCCCCAAATCTAGGGTTCCAGTGACAGGAAGATAACTCACTACAACTTCTGGCTGCAAAAAACAGTGGGAACTGATTCAGTGGAAGAAACTTCTGTAGTTCCAAGAAGTTCTTCTTATAGAACTCACACATGGACTCACCTACTCATACTCACTCCCTCTGAGCTCCAGCACCAGGGTAGCAACTTGAAAGCACCAGTGGCATACAGGGAGGAACTGAAGTGTCTGGCATCAAGACAAGAGCTAGGGGACAGCTTTCTCCCAGACAGAAATGTGGACAGAACCATTGTCACTTTTCTGAAGCTTCCCCCACAAAAGACACAGAACCATATCTGATGGGTACCATATCTGAGGCTCCATCAATCTGGCTAATACTGTTAGTCCCACTCTGGAGATCCCCTGAGGCTCCATTCCACTAAACTTATGGACCCATCCAAGCTGTTAACAGGGACTTTTCTGTATGAATGGCTGGTTTGCTGCATGCTTCACAACTTCCTAAATCCTCTCAAACTAGCAAGAGCCAGCCTCAGAGAGCCCCCAGCCCCTGTACTCTTGCTAAGTGGCCCAGGGGCCAGCACTAGCAGCATCCAGTCTAGACTTACAGGTGGGTTTCACCTGGGAATCTCCAAGCCCAGCACAAATAGTATCTATCTCAGATAGCTTTATAGCCCAGGTAGGGTGGCCCTGGACAGAACACAAGTTGGGGCTGACCCTGGCCTGCACCACCCAGGGAACCGAAGAGCCGGTACACCAGTGGAAAGCTACAGACCACATTAGAGTACTACCACCCTGGCCCTGCACAGCTGATCCTCTGTGGAGGGCAGAGGTTGGTGGCCAGTGGTCACAGCCAGTCCTTGCAGCTGACTGGCCTGGGTAAACCACTTCCATTGATCTGCCAGCAGCAACCAAGGCTTAACTACAAGAAGAGGGTGTACTCAGCCCATACAATAGGTTCACCTAGAGTACCCAGTTTGGGTGTTAAGGGGTGCCACTGGACCCTACAGGATACCTACTACATTAGGCCACACTACCAAGACACAGAGTCAAAGCAGCTCTACCTAATACATAGAAATGAACACAAGCAGGCTGCCAAAATTAGGAGACAAAGAAATATGGCCCAATGAAAGAACAGATTAAAACTCCAGAAAAAGAACCAAACAACAGGAAGATAATCAACCTACTAGATGCAGAGTTCAAAACACTGTTTATAATGACACTCAAGGAACTTAGTGAGGACCTCAGCAGCATAAAAAAGATCCAAGCAAAAAATGAAGAATTGCAATACAGAAATAGAACTAATTGAAATAAAGAACAACTTATGGGGAAACAACAGTAGATGAAGCCAAGAATCAAATCAATGATTTGGAACATAAGGAAGCAAAAAACAACCAATCGAAACGAGAGAAAAAAAAGAATAAAAAATAATGAGGATAGTGAAAGCAGTCTATGGGACAATGTCAAGTGTCCCAACATTCACATCATTGTGGTGCCAGAAAGAGAAGAGAAAGAGCAAGAAATAGTACATCTATTTGAAAAAAATAATTAAAGAAAATGTTCCTAATTTGGTGAAGGAAATAGACATGCAAGTGCAGGAAGCACAGAGAGTCCCAAACAAGGACTCTTGGATGCAAAGAGGCCCACTCCAAGGCACATCATGATTAAAATGCTGAAGGTCAAAGATAAGAAGAGACTCTTAAAAGCAGCAAGAGAAAAAAGTTGGTTACCTCCAGTGGAATTCCCATAAGACTGTCAGCTGATTTCTCAAGAGAAACTTTGCAGGCTAGAAGGGATTGACAAGAAATATTCAAAGTCATGAAAAGCAGGGATCTATAGCTAAGATTGCTCTACCCAGGATAGATATCATTTAGAACCAAAGGGCAGATAAAGCACTTCCCAGACAAGAAAAAACTAAAGGAGTTCATCATCACATGAACCATTATTAACCATTATTATATGAAATGTTAAAGGTAACAAAACTGTGAGCAATAAAATGGCAATGAATACATATTTATAAACAATTGAATCTAAAAAACAAACTAAACAAACAAGAAGAACAGACAGGATAATGGATAGAAAAAGGGTTTTGATGGTTGCCAGATAGGAGGGCAGAGGGGGAATATGGGCGAAGAGGTGAGGAGACTAAGGAATACAAATGGGTAGTTACAGAA